CTGATTGCCCTTGCTTTGGGATGGAACCATTAAGCTCTATAAAGTGTAACAAACAATGGAAGTAGGTGGCTGTTAATGGAAAAAGTTCAGGTGGAGGATTTGATACCGCTTTCTTCATTTCATGAGAGATCTGTAGGCTTCGACAATAAGAATTACAAAGGCTGGAATTTTTGGCATTCCGAGACGGAGCAGACTTACTTTAGGGTTATGTGATAACACGAATAAAACTTTTTGGATGAAGGGTGTGCTGTACCTTGCGGCGAAGCGAAGAGAGTATGGAGGATGACGTTTTCGACGGAGACATTATAACTTCGGAGCAGTTTCAACGCGGTCAGAACGACGTTTCCAGTTTCTAAAGCAGAAAGGCAAGATGAATATCATGAACCTGAATTGTGGTTAGAGCAGAAAGTCACGCGTGCCCTGACAATTTCTGCTCTGAAGTCTAGGTAAAAAAGTGGTTTATAATCACGTTGCACAACGCTTCAGAGAAAATTAGGATAATCATTTCTCAACGTAAATTTGCAACAATTCGGAGCATGCCCATGTCGTAGAAGCAGGGACAACTAGCAATCTCTCCTAGGGATGGACAGACAGTTCCAACATTCGGTCCAACAGTAAAGAAGGTCATAAAATAATGTAGCAAAGAGGCGGAGACAATAAGGAGGGTTGGCAAATTGGTCGAAAACTTACTGAGTGTAGGATACATGAGGAGAACCTTGCGCGACTCGATACCCGGCGGAAGCTTGGCGTAGACAACGCGCGGCTCAGAGATTTGTCCAAACTCCTCCGATGCAGTGATGAGGATCTTACCGATCCGCAGCGCCCGACAGCAGTCACGCAGACCACGTTCCATCGCTTCGCCGCTACGAACAATTGAGACACCGCAGTTGCCGCGCAAGAACTTCAGCCCATTGTAGCAGTGTCCTGGTGGCAGGAAGGAGAAAAAACATCTGGACAGGCGAGAACTAAGAAAATTATAATTTTACAGGGATAGTCTATAGTACAGACGACGAAAAACGTACTGCGAAATAGGAGTACATAGCATAACCAAGATTCAGGAACATGAGATATCTCTACAGAACATTTGACTGCATTGCACTAACGCTCCTCGATAAAGGATTAAAACTGTTAAAAGCCGTTTTTTCTAAAGTTGAACATACAAATATTTGTTCTATTCCGATAGAAATGAGCATTGGTGCGGAATATTCCCTGCTTTGCTGAGTAAAGGGTATAGAAACTACTGGAAGTCAGTTGCGGCGATGGAGGGCATCATAGCACGCCAAAAAGCCGTCTTAAGGTATAGACTTAATAATGTTTAGGAATACATCCTCGTCTGAAATAAGAATAGAATAAACTAAGAATCGCTAATAAACGAAGAAATCGAACCGGTGTGAGGTTAAAAACAGCACATCCGAACCACCTGAGCTAATTGGTAAGTTTCCACTTGTAATGCTGGTTCTAATAGTCGTACAATTGTGCTTCTAACGCCACCAATATATACCTGTGACAACTGAAAAATTCGGAAGCATGGACATCTCAATACTGACATTTGAAAAAATATCTTTCTTAATGCCCTACTTCTGAGGATAAGACAACTTTGGTTATCAGAATGATACAGGTAAATGACTATCCCAGCGCACACTTTACTCGCGAAGGTAGAAAAGTAGACCCGTTGTGAAGGGAACATCGGAAAGCGTGCATGTTGATAAAGAGCCACATGGATATCTCACCCGTAGGCGTTGTGACAGAAACTTCTTCAAAGGGGAGCTGATTGAGACCCTCCTCCATTACCAAACGGATAAGACGGTTTGCGTAGAAGACAAAATCATTCCTTGTAGTAGTTCTAAGAAAAGAAAAGAAGGGAGCAGAGAAAGAGATCTAGAGATGAGCAAGGTACCATCGATTAGATGAAAGCGAACCTGTCCCTCAAAACAGTTTGCATTTCACGAACTTCATCAGTTTGACGAAGCAAGACAATATTCTTAGAAAATGAATGCATGACCTCGGTAACCTCAGGATATGGAGACTCTTGAAGAGTGCTGTTACCATTAGCCATTAAGAGACCCTTTGCATGTTCCGTTATTGCCTTGAGTTAGAAAAAATATTAGCAGAAAGGAAGCAATATAACGGTGTATATTAAAACGGTGAAAATCTGAAGTAATAAGGGCCAGAGAACCGTTTTAACAGAGCGTGCAACGTGGGAGACTGAACCAAGTCAAAAGGAACGTAAAGAGCCCAAGCGCTAAGCAAAAACAACCTAATAATATACCGAGGGCATAACAACAACGGCACCTACACGTGATAAAAAATTAAGGCGACACATAGAATACCTGTTCGATCATTGACGCATCACAAAGTGCCATTAGATGTAGCAACAACTTCCGCGAGCAAACACGCGGATTAAGTGGAAATACCAATCGCGCACCTAAAGGCAGTAATGAGTCAAACAAATCCAGAAGGCAACCCATTTCTCTGCTGGATATTTAAAATTATTGACAAATCTTCTAAAAATGATTATTTACAAGTATCTATCACAATGAAGAACATAATGAAAATGTGGGTGAAAAATAAATATTATGCTACGGCTTGGCATGTATTAAGCGGTGGCGGTGGCTGTAAAGCCTGCCTTCTTGCCTTTGGATCCTAGTCTTCGAGTTTCAAGAGAGGGTTGGTTGATGAAGCTTTATTAGGCATTGTGCATGGGAAAATGGAAATGGATGGGGAAAGATTAGGTAGGAACAACTGTCAACCTGGGAACTCATCTCTACGTACATTAGTATATATATATCAATGACGTACATAAAAGAAGTCAAAGTTCCTATTGAATTTAAAATTTAAAGAAAGTAAATGTAATACTTTGTTTGTGTGACCAGAATTATAGCTGTT